CTGATCAAGTATTATTAGTATATTAAGTAGCGGCGAATTATTATCTTAAAGAAAAATGTTTCACTCCCGTTCAATTTTTTATATATTATTAACAAATATTAGTGATGTAAATGAACGCGTTCATTTTATTTTTGACGAGACGAACGCTTTAGAATTTAACGTTGCTTCAATTTTAAAAACATCTTTTATTTTTATTTATTTGAAAAATAATATTAATCCGAATTTTTTTTAAAAAAAATTATTTTTTATAATCAACTGTTTTTTCTTTTCACATTTCAATTTTTTTTAACACACCATTATTATAGTTTATTAATTTGAATATTATTGTTTATATTTTAATTTAATAGATTAGCATAAGCATGGATATTATTATTTCATCATTACATGATTCTGAAAATTCAAAATCAGATGAATTAACATTACCATAGCCCAAATATGATAAATATTTTACAGTAACATCCTATATTGAAGGAACTAATTCAATACTTACCAAATGTAAAATGTGCCCAAAAAGTATTATATCAGTTTCAAAATTTTCAAGTTCCAATTTAAAACGACATTTGATTGTAATATTAATTATTTTATTTTATAGAATATAACTAAGAAAAATCATTAAATTTGAAGAAAAAATGCATTTAAGGTTATTTGACCCCAACAATAACGATAGTTTAAAAAAATTAATGGCCTAAATTATAGTCAATTATTGATAGACGCATTATTCAATGGGATTAGTAAAAAGTATTAAACCTATCATTATCAAATTAATTATATATATTTTAATTTTTTAAAGATTTGAACATATATATGAAGATCAATAATATGTTCTTTCTGCAATTATACATCCAATATTTAAGCTTCAATGGCCATGGATAAAACGTCCATAGAAAAAACCAATAAAAAATTAATTTATAGCGTTATTGAAAAAAAATGCATTGAAAACCCTAAAAATGATAATGCAAGAACTTTTAATTTCGAGATATCTTTTTTATTGACGAGTAAGCAAAGGATGGATTGGAGGAGGATAACTTCTCTCAATTTTTTGAAGCAAAGGACAAAACAATAAATGTTTTTAATAAATTCTCCACGTTAAAAGAGCTGTTTATTAAGTATAATACCGCCATCCCCTTATCTGCCCCTGTATGCTATGCCCTAGGCGCGTACGCAGGAATTTGGTCTGGGGGGGGGGGGGGGGTAATAAATTTTTTAAAGAAATATTATTGTTAATTAAAAATATAAGCATAAATTTATTAGGATTAATAACTTTTCTAATACACAATTTTAAACTAATGTGAATTAAAAAAATTATATATATAAACCGGCATTGAAAAACTATAAAATAAATGTGAATTATAAAATATAAAGTGAATATAACCCACGATATGAATCACTTAAATGACCCAAAATTGAAATTTGAATTTTTTGAGCTTTTAAAATATTAAAGTATAAAAAATTTAAATGTTGGAAATATAAATTAATACACAAAAAGTTTCTTAGGAATAATTGTATTTTGTATGTTATGAGCTAATTTTTCAATTATCTATCCTTGCTTGGAGTTAAATGTCTATGAATATTCAAAAAAATCATTCAATCTACTTTCAGACGTTGTATTTCATAGGTATGTTTTTCACAGACTTGCAAGCCCGGCCCCCGAGCAGGACCGTATTTTAATTTTTTTAAATATACCCGGGCTGGGCCTGAAAATATTTTTAGAAAAAATATCCGGGCCGAGCTGTATATTTTAAAACCAAATATTTGAAATCGCCATTATTAGCTATAAAAATCAAAAATAAATAAAATTTATTTTAAAAAAATTCAGGCCGGGCCTGAAATTTTTTTAAAAAAAACCCGGGCCCGAAAAAATTTTTTAAAAAATTCTGGGGCGTGTCCTGCCAATGGTACCTCTGCAAGGCTCTGTTATTCTTCTTAAAAAAGAGAATGTTCTCTCATTGGTACTAAAGAGCTGCTAATATATATATAACCATTTTAATACATTGGGAGTATAATCTAAAATGTGTTTGAAATAAAAAGCATCCATAGCCTATTTTGGGACTGTATCAACCATAGTTAATCTTTTAATCATAGTTATTCAGCTAATAAGGCATCATAAGATATTTTAACATCTTCATGATAAAAATCTAACAAATATTTATATTTTTTTTCTATCACCATATGAAAAAGGTTGGGAGAGGGGACATTTGTTTTATAATACTCTTCTACTGATCCTTGCTTGCTGCAAGTCGAGGGGGACAAATATTAAACACGTATAGCTCTGCTTTTGACTCAACAATAACATATAAAATATGAAATTCTTCAACAACATTAGCTCTAATTTCCTTGAGTTCTAATAAAATGCTCTCCGCTATTCTCATCTTCTTAATCAAGTCAATGTTATGTTTTTGAAAAGTATTACATAAAATGTATAATTAATTAATACATTCTAATTAGAAAAAAATTTGGAATAAGTATTGAATCCAATAATTTTCTTTAGGTCTTTCAAGCCATTGTGATATTTCATAGCATTAATAATCGGCTCTTCTAACTCCATAATAGCTGTTACTGCTTGATGGCGGAGACTCGATCTCGTTGGACAAGCTTGCAATTTCTTTCTCCCTGTTGACAAGTTTCAGAGATAATTATTATTTGACTAGAAATTTAGATAAATATTTAAAATTTGAAAATAATAGGTAAATTACGCCAAGGAAAACTTGAAATCGAAATTGATTGATAAAATAACTTAGTAGATGAATGTGATAAATAAATGTAATTAAATATATATATATGAGATAGGAATAAATATTAACAAATATAAATTAATATTAACATAAATATTTTTGAAAAATATAATCCGGCATCTGCATTTTTTGGCTTGGGGGGGGGGGGGATTTGTCCCCCTGCCCCCCCCCGCTGAGTACGCCAATGGCTATGCCGTATTAACTGCCAAGCGTTCCTGTCTATCAGACAAAAATTTTGAAAAACAATTGTTATTAAAATTTAATAAGAAATTTTTTTTATAAATAAAAATATCTTTTTATTCGCTATATTATATTGTATTTATAATTATATTATCAAAATAAATTTTTTAACATGGCTAATATATTGTGTTAAAAAATATAAGACATTTATTTACATTAAATTAAATTTAAAAAATTTATCATAAAATTTTGAAGGAATACATCGAATTTTTTTTAATAATTAAATTCGTTATTTATATTAGTGATCTGTATCGGGCCTAATTTCCGAACCCGAAATTTTTTAAAAAAGTTTTGCCGGCCCGGCCCTAACCCGAAATCTTTTTTAAAAAATTTTATCGACCCGGCCCGAATTTATTTAAATATAGAAATTAATCTTTATAAATACTCAAAATAAAATTAATATGTTATATGTCGTTTAGTTTCAATAAATAAAATCAAATATTTTTATTTTCCATAAAAAATTTAATATAAAATTGATAATTAGATATATTTAAAAATTTCCAAAGTCCGACCCGACCCGGTCCGAATTTTTTTAAAAATGTTAGGCCGATTATTTTAAATAGAACTAGACCTGAGTCGGGCCGGGTACGGGCCTAACTTTGCAGATCTCTAATTTATATTATATTTTCGATATAATGTTGCAATTTATATTATATTTTCAATATAATGTCACAAGTTTATTAATACCTAGATATCTATACAAGTTAAAATAAATATGAAATAAAATTATTCCATATATCTTTCATTTCTTTGGGCTGTATTTTTTATGAAAAGATTTCATTCGCATGCGATGATTTCTTTTCCATATTTTGATAAATGATCTGGAATCTATTCCGAAATCGAAGGTCCATTAACAATTATGAACATTAAGTTTGACAAATTATTTATTCCTAAACTCGCTCGAACCATGATCAAATTCATAAGATGAAAGCCCCTTTCACACTCGGTAGTACTGTTAAGGTAGAAATATCTTAATCGATATACTGTCGAAATTCAGCAATTGTTTCATATTTATTTAATTTGAATCTTTGGCAGATACTCTTTAATTTTATTTTTAAATAAAAAATTTCTAAAATAATTTTGTTAAATTTTTTAAAGTCCTTTTAACCTTGTTTCAAAGCTATCTATTAGATGGTGTTGCATGATGCCGTATGAGAAATTATAAATTGGTTTATTCATAATCTTGTTTTGGATTTTTTAAAATAGTATATTTTTGAATAAAAGTATAATTTTTGAATCGAGCGACATCTATAAATATTGATCTATTGATATTTAAATATTATTGTCTATATATGTACCTAATGATTTAATTTTTTTAAATATCAGCCAATTGATAAAGAAAAATTCCCTAATTTATTTTTCTTTTAAGTAGATTGATTAATCTTAACAATTAACAAATAACCTCTTAGAAAATTTCAAACTTTTATTTAAATATTCGAAAGATTTTGGAATTTCTTGACTAATAAATCGGCTCAATAACAGTCAAAAAATTACTAAGCCTTGAGACAAGAGTATTTTTTTCAAGATTCAGTTATCCCACGTTTAAACCTTGATGGAGGCTAAGATAATAGGTTCAGCTTAAAAATTCGGATTCGGTTACGCCTTTTTAGAATCGGCTCAAAACTTGCAGAAAATGGAGATTTATCATTACTTGCTTGTGGCGAACCACACTATATACTCAGAAGTGACGATTATTCATAAAAAAGGGTTATAAATTTTTCAAAGAAAATATGATGTTTAAAATATTAAGGGCCAATAATATCTATTTTATAGGATATTTCAATGGATCGAGTTTAATATTCAAATTTTACATTTTAAAAATTTTATATGCCACTCCGCTGTTATAAAAAAATTAGGCGGGTAGAAGAAGCGGCTCATATCGATGTGCGGTTTTCGGTATGGGAAAATTTTCCGGTGGACGCGGCGTGAGCCGGTAGCACCCATGTCTAGGTATCTTAACCAGTATCAAATAATAAATAGAAATTTAAAAAATCACAAATGCATAATAATAAAACAAAATATATAAACCTTTTGATTCGAAGATATAGAACATTGATCTGTACCTAATAAAAAAATTAAGTTAGTTTAGGTCATTATTCGGTCTACCCCCTTCAATTTTTTTAAAATTTGGTAAGCAATGAAAGATTAAGAACTAAGCCAACCAAAATTTAGCCTCCAATCATTTATATTTTAAAAGAAATTAGGGTTCAAAGTGTCATAAATGATGTATTTTTTAAAAAGTATATAAATATTTTCCCAAAAAATAAAATTACATACATTAATATTATTCAATTTTTAATCGTTTTTTTTAACGAATCTGATAATTAAAATTATTCATCTTGTAAGTGAAAATAACAATCAATGAGGGTTATAATCAATAAAAGAAATTAAATTTATTAATCATTTATAATTATTATAAAATATTTTCCCATATAACATATATTTAAAGAATATTAATAAAATATGGAATATGATATTTGCAGATGATATTGTGATACTTGCCCAATCCAAGGATGAAATGAAAGAAAGGTTAGTGAATTGGATAAATATCCTAGAAACGCACGGATTAAAAGTAAATAGAGAAAAGACGGAGTATATGGTGATAGGAGGAGATGAAACGGAGAGTATTGATATAAATGATTGGCAGATATCCGCAATTGAAAGCTGCAAATATTTGGGCTCCACTATACAAACAAACGGCACAATAGAAAAAGAGATAAAGAGTAAGATTAATCAAGGGTGGTTAAAGTGGAGATCTTTATCTGGAGTGCTATTTGACAAAAGAATCCCACACAAATTAAAGGGAAAAATTTACAGTTCCATAGTACAACCAACTATTCTATATAGTTCGGAAACATGGCCAACCAAAGAATCAGACGAGAGAAGTCTACAAACTTTGGAGATGAGAATGCTGAGGATGATTGCTGGGGTAACAAGAAAGGATAAGGTGCGCAGTACAAGAATACTAAATAGTTTAAAGGTAGTGCCCATTAAGACTAAGTTAATGGTAAACAGACTTAGGTGGTATGGGCACACAATGAGAAGGCCTATGAACTACATAGGAAATAAGGTTGAAAGTTTGGAAGTGATGGGCAAACGTAAAAGAGGAAGGCCAAAACTTCAATGGGGCCATAAAGTTAGAGCCAATATAAAGAAGTATAAAATAGTTAAAAGAGATTGTATGAATAACATAAAGTGGAGAGAGATGTTGAAGGAGCTTACCACCAGAAAAAGTGAAAGCTAAAGAGAAAAAAAAAATACAATCAAGTTTACAGTTCTTGAAAATATGAATTATATTGTTCCTGAGATACAGGGGCTCTAAGGTGCGAAAAATTACGAGTTTCGCAAAGCTAAATTTTTAAATTGCTTATATCCAAAAAACTATTTAAGGTAAAAATAAAATAAATAAATCATTTTGTATATTAAAAAATCTCTAAAGGTCTATCGAAATAAAAAAAATTGGCACCAATTTGAATCCTTTCCAGTTAAGGTTTACTGTATATGTTGTAAAATGCATTTTTTAAATAAAATTGATAGTTCACTTTTATATACGCTATATGAAGTAGATAAAATTTTGTTGCTAACTATCCAATAACAGTATATTTTTTTCCATACTATTTAGAATTATCTATCAAAAAGGCCCATTTCTGGCTGACCCCATTTAAAATTGTTAAATATTGCTGAATTTATTTAAATCGGTAAATAAGAAAGCTGTTTATTTTATCTCGTGAGTACACCCAATTCCCATGATGCAATGCAGAGTCTCAAAGGTGCATAAAATTACTATTTTCACACTTTTAAAATTTCGAAATTGTTTATCTCAAAAACTATTTAAGGTATGAATTCTTTTAATGAATTTAAATGAAGGATAAAAATTTCTGAATATTATGCTTTTTTGGTTCAAAAAGAACAAGGATTTCACTGGAATAAAAGTTACCATTCATCCTTTTGTGATTTATTACAAGACACTTAATAATTTAAATCATTTAAGTTACATAATATTGGAATCTCTTATTTATAATATAATTGCAGTTAATTATCCCAAAAGTCTGGTACTTAACTATAGAATTTTTTAAGCTAAAATTCAAGCAGAATTTTATTCAAATTCAACAGAATCACAAATATTAAACATAAATTTCACTTGAATATTAATGTAAATCTAATAAATGAAAAAATAAAAGGATATATATATCATATATCTATAACAATCAATGGTGGGTGGCCTTTTTAGAAAAAAATTTGAAAAAAAGATGTTAGTTAGTTTTTGCACCCTCAAATTCTTATTCATATCCCTCCCTGAGTGACTAATTGTGGAAATAGATAGCACAAGTTTTAGATGTGGCCAATCCTTCAACTGCTACCTGACGAACATATACTTTACATAAAGATGAGACAATTAAAACTATTCATCTTTTAAATTTAAATATATAATATTTATCTCTGACTTTATTATGTTCCAAATATATTTATAAAGTAATGAATTTAATTATTTGTATTTCTATGTCATTAATAAATATGAAAAATAAAAAAAATTAAAAGAAAGGGATTTATTATTGGAAACTTAACCAAATCTTGATTGATTTGGTATGGGATGGCCAAATTTATTTTAATGATTGAAACTTCCATTGATTGTTATTTTCACTTAAGAGATGGAATAATCCTTTAAATTTGTCAAATACACTAAGAAAAACCATTAAAAACTAATTTGAGAATATTTACATTTTTCTTGATATTTTAAGGATGAAGCTGGTCACACCCCAAATCTTTTTTATATAAGAGTTTAATTATGTTTTTTATAAAAATTAAGGTTAAAATTAATTATAAAAAATCGTTTTTAATTCCTATATATTAAATATAATAGCTAAAAATTTTAAAAATCAAAAAAAAATTGTTTATGTAAAAGTATAATCTTCGTGCATATTTTTGATATTAAATTTGTCATTTACAATTATGTAGTTTTTATATGTTTAATTGAATAAAGGCAATATGTTATTTTGTCATTTTAAACCCTAATATCTCTAAAAATATAAGTGTTAGGAGGCTAAAATTTTGGCCCTTTCTTAGTTACATTAATCTTGCTTTATTTACCAAATTTTAAAAAAATCAAAGGAATTGTCCAAACATCTTTTTTTTACTCATTTGATATGGAATGACCCAAATAAAAAAAATAAATAGATATATATATGATCGTAAAATAATCAAAACAATGATAATATCTGATTGGATCAGTTTTTATAAAAATATTGGCTCAATCCAATTTTTTTAAATGGTATATATCAGCCCCAATAATATATGAAATATCAGCCAGCCCTAGTGCTTATTATAAATTGAAAAATATTTTTAAAACTAAACTTAAATTATCTATAGCAATAGATGGGTCAATGTTATCAGTAAAATGTAGATTCTTGTTATATTGGTATCTTCTTGATGGCATAGATTTAAATTTGCTAGTTTTTAGTATGAATTCATTATGATTGCTATATTTCGGCAAAGCAAAGTTGTTTGCTTTCTTTTTAATCATCATACAGCTCTTAGAAACTTTAAAACTCTTCTTGTTCACTAATCTTGGGATATATTTTATATTCTTCAACCCTTGGGGTTTATCACAGATTGATATTTGAATATTTAAGCTTTTAGGCTCTTTATTATTATCACTTTCTGTATCCTTCTGGCAATTAAAATTATTATCAAGCTGTTTCAGTGTTTTTTGACCTTCATTGGATATGTTTTTTATTTTTAATTTAGATAAATGAATAGCTTGTCTTTGTTTTTTGGTCTTACATCTTTGAAGAAATAATTAAGAAATTAATAATAATAAATTTAAACTTGGTAATGACATTTAATTTAAGCTCTTTTTGTTTTAGGATATTTTCAGGATTCAATTTTAAAATTCGAGCTTCATTAACCCATTCATCCCAACTTAGGCAAATAAATTTTATATATTGTGTAATAAGCATACTTTTTATTCCAACCACTATAATGTATATAATACTTTTTTTCATTTTGAATTTGAAATTTTTTTAAAATCTAAAACAATTTAAATAAATAAAATTATAAAAAGAATACTTTAGCTTCATACAGTAGAGGTCCATGATAACATAAAATCAGTTCTTCTTTATAAATTTAATATTAAAATAAATAATTTATCTAAATACCAGAACAAAATTCAGATTCCATTGACTATACGGCTCATCAGCTGATTTTCAAGTATAATAGTCAAACTAACTAAACTGAGAATTGACAGGAAAACTGAGAAATGACAGGTAAAATTTATTTTTATTTTATAGCCTATCAATTTTATTTTAAAAATATAAATAAGTTTTTATTATGTAAATCATATTTATCCATAATTAATTTTTATCTAAATAAATAAAATAGAATATAGAAGAAATTATAGTCCATAAATTTAAAATATGTATAGAACAAATCAGTGACGAAACGTCAAGTTTACTACTAGGGAAACAATCAAAAAAATATTTTTATTTTAGTCAAACTCAAACTATAATTAAGATTCATATATAAGTGTAGATGGGGTCCGGTTTCCGGTGAAACGAAATAAAATTTGTTATCCTCAATCACAATATAGAATACTAAGATTCAATACTATATTACAAGTTATTATTATAATGTATATTTATTTTTTTAGATCAAACTATAACATCAGTGGCGGGTATGCCATGTAAACACTAATTGAAGTCCTATGAAGAATATTCAAAGTTATGGAATTATTTTCAAGAAGCTTTAATCAGAAGATCCTCATGATAAGATATATTATTAATTATGTACTTCCAGCTTATACAATTTATAATTATAACATGAATTTTCTTATTTTATATACATTTGAATCAAGACAGTACATAGATAGTTACATCTAAAGAAAGGTCTTGGTACTTGTGGAACCCTAATTATGGATATATATAGAACTGTAATGATCTTGCATTTGTGAATCCCTTAGTTACACCTAAAGAAAGGTTTTGTTACCTGTGGAACCCTAATTATGGACATGTTTTTAGAACTGTAATGATATTGTATCTTTAAATCCCTTTTAAGGAAGTAGCATTTATTAACTATAATGTAGATAAATACATCTTTATTTACACATATACCCTTAAACTGGAATAGTTACATTTGATCTATTTTGACTTTGTTGTGTATATAAGATAGATCTAAAAGACCACACAATTTGGTTATGAACATTTCATTCCATTCTTGAATGTATATATCTACATTATTTTGTAATTTATAAGTTTACACAATTAGATACATAGAATATCTTTATTCTTTATAAAGATTAAAAGACATGCAATTTTATATTGAAAATTTTTATTCCACTCAGTAAGTATAAAATAACCATACAATTAGATTTATTATAATATTCTACACTTCCTTTTGAAATTATAAGTTTACTTACACATATACCTTCTAAACTGAAATAGTTACATTTGATCTATTTTAAATTGTTGAGAATATCAGATCCAAAATTAAGTCAAGGGTCACACAATTAGATATATTGAATTCCTTATTCTTGTATATATAAGAACCAAAAGATCACACAATTAGGTTATTGAACATTTCATTCCACTCTTGATTGTATATATCTACATCCTTTTGCAATTTATAAGAGAAAAGGATCATCCAATTTTATACTAAATATTTTTATCCTACTCAATTCCCTTTAAAGCTGAAATTATTACATTAAATTGAACATAGACTATGATTACTGTATTGTATGGGTTGAATCATTATTAAAAAAATAACACTATATCTACTGTTCAGGTAAATTTTTTAATTTTAATCATATTTATTTACAGATTCTATGAACATTAAATCTCAATAGTGATAGTAATCATCAAAACTTACATTAAAGAATTTAAACTTAAAATCAGCCATCACCCACCTTTAAAGTAATTAAATTATACTGTAGTTCTTGGGTATAGGCTCTTTTTTTTACCCCATTCCTTTTTACTAAGCCTATAGAGTTTTAAGCAACTTTTTCCGAAATGTTGCGCCTACAAGTACGTGCGACTTGCCCACAAACGTGTGAAGGGCTCCTCGTCTTTCTTCCCCTAATTAACTATCCAGTTTGATGGATTTTGAGGAAAACCTAGCGTAGCTCTGTTGTACCCACAACCAGAGGGCGAAAACGCTTTTATCACGTATCACGTATATATGTGGTATTCGTCTTTGTTTTTGAGTAAAATGATCAAGTACTGCATTATAAAAGTTATAGCTAGATTTTAAATTTTTTAATAATTTTTTTTCAATCGAAATCAAAGATAGATTTGATAATCGATTTTGGCGCATCCTGTTTCTGCAATAAGATTTGATTCTTTTTAAAGTTGAAAAACTCCGTTCTACACTTGCTGTTGTTGAAGCCAATGTTAAGATGAATTTGCATAATTTAAAAAATTCTTCAAAACTTTTCATCAAATCGGTGCATATAAAAATTCAAGTATTTAATTAATATTCTTTTTCTTTCTAAATTAAACATCCGGAAACACTACCTTTCCAGCTTATGTAAGTCGAAAAATTGAGAATAAGTTTCGTTTAAATTATCTAATAAATATTTTGGGAAATTTTGATTATTTGGAATTTACTAAAATCTAACAATTCGACGAATTTAATATTTTTTGGTGTAAGACATATGAAATAAAATTAATCAAATCATTTTGAATTTTGCTTGATTGTCCAATAAAAACTGCACTATTTCTAAATGATGTTTCAATAGTAAATTTTCTTCCGCGAGCAAATAAATTAATACAATAAAATTTCCTCTATATACTGAATTAGAAGATTCATCATCACCACGGAATACGAGCTCCTGAATTCCTAGAAAGCATATAGAGTTGATCAATATTTTCAACATTTCTCTATTTGATTTGACTTTTAGAATTATGCTATTCGATTGATATTTTGCGCATCGAATCTATCATATTTTCAATACGATTTTGGCCAAATGTTTTTAATTGAATAATCGACTGAAAATGATGGCATGATTTTCTCTTTATTTATTAAAAAAATAAGCAATATTAAATTTGCTTCCCTCATATATATTTTTTTAACGTAGTAAAAATAATAGTAAATTTTTTAACGTAGTAAAAATAATAGTAACTTTTTTAACGTAGTAAAAATAATAGTATTTCTTAATATAGTAAAAATTAATTTTTTAACGTTATAAAAATTATATTAATCTTTTCAACGTTATAAAAATTATATTAATCTTTTTAAGTTATAAAAATTATATTAATCTTTTTAAGTTATAAAAATTATATTAATCTTTTTAACGTTAATAACGCGTTATAAAAATTATATTAATCTTTTTAACGTTAATAACGCGTTATAAAATTATATTAATTTTTATAACGAAGTCAGTTTAGATTTAGCATAGTACAAAGATTATATTAAGTTTATTTAAAAATTTTGTAAGAAAAATTTCAAGTAAAGCAATGCTTCCCTTGCTTCTATGGGCGCTTCGTCACTGGAACAAATATGTTACATAGAAAATATAACATATATAATAAATTTTAAAAATCATAAATATATTTCGGTTAGATGCCGTAATATATTAAAAATTTAGTTTTTAACTAAAAAAAAATATGAGTTATAACAGCATAATTCTTTACTTTGGATATTCATTTGGTACAAGCTATATAATCATGAAATGATAAAAATTTTAAGTTTCCATCATTATTTTTAGAGTTATGATGTCAATTCTCAGTTTAATCAAAAATTTTTAGATTTTTGTGACTCATTTTATGTAAACTTATTCATATAATATAAACATAAAATGAAGAAAATTTTAAGTTTCCTTCATTATTTTTGGAGTTATGTTGTCAATTCTCAGTTTAGTCAAAAAATTTTAGATTTTTTGGATTTTAAAAATATTTTATTTTTTTGACTCATTTTGTGTAAACCTACTCATATAAACATAAAATGGAAAAAATTTTAAGTTTCCATCATTATTTTTGGAGTTATGTTGTCAATTATCAGTTTAGTCAAAAAATTTTGATTTTTTTGATTTTTAAAATATTTTATTTTTTTGACTCATTTTGTGTAAACTTACTCATATAAACATAAAATGAAAAAAATTTTAAGTTTCCATCATTATTTTTGATGTTATGATGTCAATTCTCAGTTTAGTCAAAATATTTTAGATTTTTGGGATTTTAAAAATATTTTATTTTTTTGACTCATTTTGTGTAAACTTACTCATATAAACATAAAATGAAATAAATTTTAAGTTTCCATCATTATATTTGGAGTTATGATGTCAATTTTCAGTTTAGTCAAAAAAATTTTAGATTTTTGGGATTTTAAAAATATTTTGTTTTTTTTGACTCATTTTGTGTAAACTTACTTATATAGACATATAATGAAATAAATTTTAAGTTTCCATCATTATTTTTTGAGTTATGATGTCAATTCTCAGTTTAGTCAAAAATATTTAGATTTTTGGGATTTTAAAAATGTTTTATTTTTTTGACTCATTTTATGCTCATATAAACATAAAATGAAAAAAAATTTAAGTTTCCGTCATTATTTTTTGAGTTATGATATCAATTCTCTGTTTAGTCAAAAATTTTTTAGATTTTTGGGATTTTTAAAAATATTTTATTTTTTTGACTCATTTTTGCAATTTTAAAAATATTTTATTTTTTTGACTCATTTTGTGTGTACTTACTCAAATAAACACTAAATGAAATAAATTTTAAGTTTCCATCATTATTTTTGGAGTTAAGATGTAATTTCTCAGTTTAGTCAAAAAATTTTAGATTTTTGGGATTTTAAAAATATTTTATTTTTTTGACTCATTTTATGTAAACTTACTTATATAAACATAAAATGAAAAAATTTTTAAGTTTCCGTCATTATTTTTTGAGTTATGATGTCAATTCTCTGTTTAGTCAAAAAAAATTTAGATTTATGGGATTTTAAAAATATTTTATTTTTTTGACTCATTTTTGGGATTTTAAAAATATTTTATTTTTATGACTCATTTTGTGTAAACCTACTCATATAAACATAAAATGAAAAAAATTTTAAGTTTCCGTCATTATTTTTTGAGTTAAGATGTCAATTCTCAGTTTAGTCAAAAATTTTAGATTTTGATATTTTAAAAATATTTTATTTTTTTGACTCATTTGTGTAAACTCACTCATATAAACATAAAATGAAAAAAATTTTAAGTTTCCGTCATTATTTTTTGAGTTATGATGTCAATTCTCTGTTTAGTCAAAAAAAATTTAG